CTCGCTGACTTGAGCCGTGGTCCTGCTGTGTTGCAGATGCGCTTCATGCTGCTGTTCAGCCGGCAGGGCAAGCTGCGGCTGCAGAAGTGGTACACGGCCACCTCGGAGCGCGACAAGAAGAAGATGGTGCGCGAGCTCATGCAGGTCGTGCTGGCCAGGAAGCCCAAGATGTGCAGCTTCCTGGAGTGGAGGGACCTCAAAATCGTCTACAAGAGGTAAGCTGCCCCCCCCCCCCTCCCGTTCCCCCACCGCACCCATCTCTGCCTGCGTGGAAGGCAGAGGGAACCATGGAGAGCATGTTTCCTCAGGCAGTGACACACACCCCTGAGTGCACTCCACCACCAGCGCGTGCCTGCAGGGGAACATCATGCACAAACAGCTGCCTTGCTGTGAAGTGCCATTGTTTACGGACCTGTTTCCCATAGGCCAGCTCACACAGGTACAAGCACCCTGCACGCCCAGGTTCCTCTCCTGCAGAGCTGGGGTGAGAGCTGGAATATGAGCTGAAAGGGGAACTGCCCCGAGAGTTCCCCTGGCTGAGTTGCACAGCTGATTGAGTGACACCAAACTAACTCAGCCAGAGTTTCCTCGGCTTGCAGTGCCAGATCAGCCGCTGGGACTTGCACAGCCCCTGTAACCTGGCCGTGCCATGAGCGAGAAATACACTGCTCCTCAGGCCAGGGCTGGGTTTCCTGTAGGGCCCTACGTGGCTCACAGCATGTGAGCAGTTCTGACAGGTGGGCGTGTCACAGCAGTGCAGTGAGAGGTTTCTCATGCTCCCTGTGTGGTACAGAGGTTGCAACTGTAAACAGGCATTGATCAGTTTAAAATGTTCTCGATGGCATGTGGTTGTCTTGTCTCCACTGACGCTATGACATGGGCTATGACACTCACTCAGCTGTGATCTCGTAGTGGAGTCAGTGACATGTGCTTGGTTCTACATCTGCTGATGGGTTCCCAGTGGGAAAATGGCTGCTTGATCATTTGGATGTTTCAGAGGAGTGTGCTGGCACTAGGGTTGAAACCCTGAGCTGGGTTCATTGAAGGGTTTTCACAAAATATACACACCATTGTGACTGATCAGTCCAAATCTGTATTCAAAGCTGCTCTTGTACTGAAAGAAGCGAGTATTTGTTAAACACACTATTGAAATAACCAGCTAAGTAATACACAAGAATGTCAGCTTCATTTTGTCGGTGTTTTGTTTCTGCGGTTGTAACAGCAGAATAACACTGTAAGCCATCACCCCCATGCATACAGGCGTTGAAATTCACAAAAATGAAATGTAGCTGTAAGTACAGTCTTAAGTCATATAATAACTTGTGCAAGTACAAGTGGAACTCCAACACTACAGTCATTATTTGCTTCCATACATATAGTTATTCTCTGTCCCCTTTTCCTGAAGGGAGTTGAGCTAATCTGGAAAAGCTCTGAGCAGTGATGCAGAATGAGCCACTCTAGGACAGGAACCATAAGAACCCCCAGGTTTACAGGAGCTTGAGCTGCAGATTCTGTTGTGGCCAGCAGGTGTCAGTGTTGCTGCTCCTGTTGAGCTCAAGTTATGTAGAGCAGGGCTGTTGAGTCCTGTACAGGAGAGCTGGTGTGCCTGCAGGCTTTCTGGGTCTCCTTATAACATTAGATGAGCAGGGAAGGGCTGCCAATTCGGTCTAATTAAGCCAAGAAGATGATGCAGTCACTAACTAATATGATGATGGTCATTAAGACCGGAGCTGGAACACAACCAGATGCATTGTCCTCCCCCCATTACCTGCAATATACACTCTTTATCTAGTGAATTTTGGAAGCCTGTGCTGCTGTGCGAAGAGATCTCTGTTCCTCCTCATTCTTTCCACCTGTCTCTCACGTGTGCTCTGTTTCTCTCTCAGGTATGCTAGTCTGTATTTTTGCTGTGCAGTCGAGGAACAGGACAACGAGCTCCTCACGCTGGAAGTCATCCACCGTTTCGTGGAGTTGCTGGACAAATACTTTGGCAGTGTGAGTTACTGCCGTCCTTCCCTTGTCTCCTCTCTTCCTTACCTTCCCTCCTCCTCATGCGATCCCTGTCTTGCTTGTATTTTCTCCATTCATTGGATGGAAGGTTCTTCGGGAACGTCCAGGAGCTTGCCCATAGTATATCCGCAAGCAGCGCTAACCCAGGCCCTTGACTGCACACATAGCCTTCCCTACATCTGAGTGTGCGCGGGTGAACTGTGGGTAAATGGATAATCTTCTGAACATTGCCTTTTTCTACAAACCCTCTTCCACCCCCACATCCCGTCTCTGTCCCTCGGTCTGCCTCTCCCTCCCCGAGCCTGTGTTTGCTCTCCCAGTCTGCTTTCCTCAAATTCTTTTCCTTTGTTCACCCAACCCACATCCTCATGGGAACATTTTCCCAGCTGCACCAGCCTGTGATTTTGTCTGCTCTTTTTAGACGTTCGAACAACACTTCCTGCCAATTTTTTTCCCTTTGACACAGACCTTTGGTCACAAACAGATAATGCAGAGCCTGAAAGAAGCTCTTCTTTGGCATGACCTCTGCCTCCCTCTCTCTCTCTCTTTTCTTCCCTCTCTGCCTCTGCTGGGGTAGGTGTGTGAGCTGGACATCATCTTCAACTTCGAGAAGGCCTACTTCATCCTGGATGAGTTCCTCATGGGTGGCGAGATTCAGGACACCTCCAAGAAGAGCGTGCTTAAGGCCATCGAGCAGTCCGACCTGTTGCAAGAGGTAGGCTGCTCTCGGGAAAGCTCCTGTCCCGCAGGCTGTGCGGTAATCCTCTAAACCGCTGCGCTTTACATCTTAATCCCCCGGAGGCTCTCCTATCACTCGAGCTACGGTAATCCTGTCAAGCAGGGAGGGGCAGCTTCAGTCCTCCAAAGCTCAAATCCTGCAGTTTTTGCAGTTACTTTTCAATTAGCAACTGATTAAGACTCAAAGAAACAGCTGAACTGACTTTGAGGACTGAAGATGTCCGTGCTTGGTGTAAAAGACTGTGTATTACAGCAAATTTCATTTATCCTTAAGTGCTTCTTGATTTCCGTGCAGCACGGCCGTAATCTGAAGTAAGGGTTTTGAACTGGCCAGCAGCCATATCACCCTGCAATGCACAGCTGGCACCCCACTGAAGCTCAGCAGGTGTGAGCTTGGTCAGTACCTGGAGGGGAGACCTCCTGGGAAAAACTAAGGTTGCTGCTGGAAGAGGTGTTAGTGGGGCCAGCAGGGGGTGCTCACCCTGCAGTCTGTGTGGGTCTTTATGCCCCAGTATAGTGACGGGGACACTATATTGTACAAAGGTGCCATCCTTTGAATGAGACATAAAACCGAGGTCCTGACCCTCTGTGGTCATTAAAAATCCCAGGGTGTCTCTTGAAAACATGGTGTAACCCCAGCGTCCTTGCCAAATTTCCCATTGGCTCTCACCAGTCATTGCCTCCTAATAATTCCCATCTCTGAACTGGCTTCATTACTGTGTTTTCCTCCCCACTGAGAGCTGGTGTGTGGTGAGGGTACTGGCGCACTATAGCTGCCATCGCATCATCCAGGTGGAGCAGCAGTGTCCAGAAAAGCGCTATATAAGTGTGAGCAATTATTATAACTGGGGGTCTGGGGAACCTTAGGGGACACTGGCATAGAGCAGAGCTGTTCTGACCTGCTGACCCACAGTTCAGCTACTGATGCTTTTATAATTGACAGTAATGTTATTTATAATGGTTACAGGCTATGGAATACTGTGGAAACAGATTTCTTTGAAAGGGGGTTCTTTAGCCATAAAGAAGTTGAACCCCTCTCCCCCTTCTTTCTTCAGGAAACGAGGCATAGTAATTATGGGTCGTACACTACAGTATATCAGGGTCTTTCAGACTCTTGTCTGTGATCTCCAAAGCACAAAGGTATCCTTGCAGAAGGACGAAGCCGATCATGAGCCAGAAGGCCCTGCTCTTCCTGAATCTCATCCAGCAGCCCTCCGGGCTCTTACAGGACCAGCAGCGACAGCAAGAACTGACTGGTTCTGAACCTTCCTTGTGCTTTTCTGTTCCTCCTTAGGAGGACGAATCCCCGCGGAGCGTACTGGAGGAGATGGGTCTGGCATAGCCTCGCTGACGCCTGGGACTGAGTCAGATGCTGGGACACAGTGAATGATGGATTTACGGGATTAGGAGCTTGGGAGTGTCGTGGGAAGAAAATGAGTTTGGCCGGGTGGGTGTGGGTGGTGGGGTGGGACAGAAAGTACAGGCCAGGAGGGGATGGGTTGGGGGTGGGGGGTGGGTAGGATGATTCTCACTCAAGGGACGACAGTGCTTGATTTCCTTTCCAATCTAAATAACTTTTGAAATGGATCAAGGACAAAAAAAAAGGTTCAAGGGGAATCATGGTCAAGAGATTCCTGGAAAATGTTTAATATTGTCGGTTCAGAAAGAAACATTATTGTTTGATGCCCAAGACGGGTCTCTGTTGGTCTGAAGTCCTGCAAGGGCTCCAGCTTTTGTATTATTTCTGAGCGGGCAAAGAGAGGACCGTCTTCAACACAGAGTATGCAAAGTGGCTTATAGGAGGAGTGCCAGGGATGTCTCGGCTGAAATCCTGCCCCCCCCCCCCCAGACCAGCTCTGATGTGTTGGTGCTCCCCCCAGTTTTTCAGGGAGCGCCCAAGACTCTTCAGCCCAGTCACTTGGTCATGAACTGCGCTTGGTTCTGTCCTCTGCATGGCCCCAGCTCGAGTTCGTGACCAAGTCACAGGAGTTGAGGTGAGTGAGATGAATTGCTAGGAACTCCCAGTTCACGCCTCCGCTGTGCCTCTACTGGGAAGGATCTAAGCAGTGTGGAGCTCTTTTGAGGTTTGCATCAAGAGGTCTGGGGTGTCAGGCTTGGTGTGTCTGTTATAGCCCCACTGGCCACTTCATGGCCAGGCCTTGGGGGAACTTGTGGATTTGTTGAGACCGCAGCTTCTGTGTGCATCGTCCTCCTATCTCAGCCCCTGTGTTAACTGCCCCCGCTGCTGTCTTTTTCCCCACTGCCCCGGATCCACACGACTCCCAGTGTTTTCACCACACAGAGCCTTCAGGTGGCGCCGGCGAGGAGCTGTGTGGGATGCAGCTGACTGGGGGCAGGCAGGTTTGAGCCATGTGAGTTGGTGGGTGTGATCTCATGCTGACACTGGGGGAGATACGCTCCCAGCTGGAGCTGATGTGGTTTGGTTACTCTTAAGCACAACTCTTTCACGTGGGTGTTCTGTGATTGTGCCGTTCTGATGAAAGGATGCCCACTGAAGGAGCGTCACTAAACAGTGAACCCGCGCAGACCACCAAACAGTGCAATGAAAAGATTTTTAATGCTATTTATTAATCCATATAATTCCTGATACTCTAAATGATTCTTCCATCCCAAGTACTTTACAAAATTCCAGATGTTTTCAGCATTTTACTTTACAACATTCCAAGGACTTTTATATTTTCAGTTTCTGGGGCATATTCCAACTGATTTTTGCAGCTTTAGCTTCGGCTGTAGAAATGTGGATCCGTGTGCCGCACACGTGTAACGGGGGTCACGCGTGTTGCAGGGAAACCCATTCTCCCACTGTAGGGAAGGCGCTCTGAAGTTTCATCAGCAGGGGCCCATCAGGAAGCTGGCCTCCAGTTAACCATGTTTGTGCGTGGCTGTGCAGTGGTAAGGATGGTAATATGCTAACCTCGAAGGTTGACTTCACACAATACCCTAACATTTTAAATCATATTTGCATCCACTCTGTTTCCCCATCATTACAATGTCTAGTGCTGTTTCCTGACTTTACTGGACTCAGGATCTCGGTGTGTAATGATGGTGAGCTATAGCAATACCTGTTGCCCTGTTTTTTGCTACTCAAGGTAGAGTTTGTGTCCTTGAGCTATGTTACTGCAAGCCTCCACCCCCCTCTTTCTGTACTGTACTCTGTAATTACTGCAGACTAGTTCTAGGGTAATTTATTACTGTAACATGCATTCCATTTCTCTGACTAGAGAGGTAGATTACCCTTGTGCACCATGTTTAGCAAGATAGAAGCTGTTTCGTGGAAGAATGGTTTCTTTGTAGTGCCCCGAGTATCAGGGCCCTCCTGGGTAAGACTGTCCCCTGCTATTCAAACTGAATGCACCCTCTTGGTGGGTTTGGGGTGTTTTTATATCAATTTTAAGCATAAGGATCTCCCAGTTATTTTTTAGCATCTTATCCACCCAGCTCAGAATTGTCTTTTTGTTCCAGATTCAGCTTGTGCTCACGATTTTAATAAGCATGCAGGGGAAATTCTTTTCGTGACAGCTGTGGGGTGCCCACATCCACTGCGGTGTCCTTTCAGGAAGCCCTCCTGGTGTTTTTACAATGCGTGCGACTGACAAGCCTGTGGATCAGTGCTGGGGATGGGGGGGGGGGTCTCAGGGAAATGGGGCATCATTGCCTTTGGAAGAAGGCGGTGTCCTTCTGCTGTATGACGACAGAGATGAAAAAGGGAATTGTGTGTGAATGGAATTTTATAATAAAACCAAGCTGAGTATGTGACCAGTGTCGTCTGTCTGGTAATCTCGGAGAGGGAGAAAGCAAGATGGGTCTGGGTGTGTGTGTGTGTACAGAGCTACTGCTCTGTTTGTGACTGCCATATATGAGCAAATATCCTCACAAAGACAGTAACTCCTGACAAACAGGAGGCATTGTGGGGGCTAGGGAGGAGGTCTTCACCATACCAGTGACGTTTTAAAAGCCAAATGCATTTTTGAAATCAGAAAGTGCCAAAACCCGTTCATTTGTGTCTGTTTTCCGCCCAGGTCCGGCTTTGTTTTAATGAGAACAGTCAGGATTAATAGAGAGAGAGCCTGTACGAGGCCCTCCCAGGTATGGAAATCTGAATGGATTTGTGCGTCTGTCTGTGTGTGTCCGGGTGGGTGTGTGTTCTCGTGAGTGAAGGATGAGTCACCGGCCCTGTGTGGCAGTGGCGCAGTGAGCCAGTTCACTGCACCAGCTTCTCACCCACGGGCCCCTGCAGAGAAGGTGGGTGGGGAAGGGGGCGCACGTCTATCCCACCATCCATCTGCAGCACTCTGTGAGCCCTTCTGACCAGCCTGACCCCCTGTGACATTTCCTCAGTGTGTGGGGTGTGAGGAGTCCAGCCCAAGTGCCAGCATGCCCCGAGAGGCTCTCGGAGAAAGAATCGGAAGAAAGTCACCTCTCCCCGATGCCCTCTGTGCAGTCCTGACACAACCGACTCTCTTGGGGGAAGATGGAATTGCTGGATTGTTGCACTTCCTTCTTATCAAAATTCCTCAACTCTGCCAGCGTATTGCAGTTTTCCTCTGTTCCTGCATCTATAAATAAGCTAAATGCTCTCTGATGCCCAGAACAGCTGCTCCCAGTTTTCCTTCCTACTGGTACAGCAGTTACTGCGTGTCTGTCAGTCAGTTCAGCTCCATCTACCTGTCCGGCCCTGAGCAGTCAGCACGTGCCTCTCTTCTGTTGCTGTCCTTGTACCTGTGACTGACCCCTCGTCACAGCCGGTGTAAAACCAGTGGCCCCCGTATTGTGGCCAGGACACCTTGGGTTCTGCCTGCCTTCCCTTGCACCTGGAACTTGCCCTGTGCTGTGCAGGTCAGTCCCTCTTCCTTTTCGTGCGAAAGCAGAAAGCCAGTTGCTTGCAGAATGTTGCACGAAGAGCTGGCACAGAAGGTTAATCTCTGGCTGCTTGGTGGGTGCTATGACTCATGCAGTTGACATGATTAATGTTATCTGAGCGCCTCTTGGACTCTGCTGTCAAGAATGTTTCTCTCTGGAGCATCAGGATGGCACATTACACAGCCTTACGGATTCCAATATGACCTTGATTAGCATGAGCCTGTGAATGAAACGGGTGCGATGCCAGTTGATTCGTCGAAATGCCTTTGTGTATTTCCCCCTGGGTACGCACCGATGATGCTGGTGTGCGCAGTGGCTGTGTGCAGAAATGGATCGTGGGTTTGTGGGACGGGGGGGTCCCTGCTTTATGGATCACAGCGTTCGATGTATAGGCCAAGTCTTGGGAAGCTGATGGATGGAGATATGACCGGATGCGCGGATTGGTTTTTCCAGGGATAACGCAAGAAGCTGCCCCCTCCCCTGGGCTGAGCCGAGTGTTTTGCTGGAGGCAGTGGGGAGGTGTGCAGGCGATTCTGGAACACTCGCCGCGGGATCCGGGGAAATTGGATACGGCTTCGACTCGGAGTAGCCACTCGGGAGTGCAGAGATGGCGGTATGGCCCAGATTGCGCGCCCTCGCCCCAGTGGGACCCAGCGCCACTCGGGATGGGATTCCAGCTGGCGATGTTCCTCCCGGGTGAGAGCTGCAGGGTGTTCCTCCTTGACCGGCGGGGAGCCGATGCGGGAGCTCTCCGCCACACCACTGCCCACATTCCCAGGGGAATGACCGCTGCATCCGCGTGGGCTTCAGTAATATACAGGCGCTCCAAACTGTCACCCATGTTTGGGAAACCTTATCCCATAATCATAATACTTCTTATTAGCCCCCCGCTCCCCATCTTGCAACCTTCGTTCATCTGACTCTGGTCTCCTGTCCGTCCCCCAGGCCTGTCTACATCCTATGGGTGACAGGGCCCTCTCCTGCTGCGCCCCAGAGCTCTGGGATTCTATCCCCAAGGATATCAGAGTCCCCTTCCCTGAGCGCATTCAAATCAAGACTCAAAACCTGCTTCTGTAGAGGGGGCTTTTATTTAATTGGTTCTGCGTCTGTCCACTTGCTTTTCAACTGTATCCCAAAACCCTATTGTAACTGTAATCCTGCTGTCTCCTCTCACTGTGTGCTTTTTTGTTTACTGTAAAGCACTTTGAGAAGAGCCATAGAAATATGAATCATCATAATACCTTATTATTGCAGGCAACGGCACACTACGCCTTCAGTACACTTTTATTAGGCCGTCAGCCCTTCGTTTCTCGAAGTCAGACAGCAGCTGGGGTGTCGGCTGTTAACAAGGGTGCAAAAGACGCACGTTCGTCCCTCGTTCGTCAGCTGACGTTTGAGTTGTTGTTTTAGAATTTAACTGTAAAGAAAAAAAATACGGAATCCTGCATTTTCTTCACAGATAGGAGATGGAGCAGGTTGGTCACTACCGCAACCGTGTTGAAAGTCGTCTGGATAGAAGGTGATATGGAAATATAACGGCGAGGTTATATTGACTGGAAACAGTTATTTCTTCAGGTTTTTTGCCGCAGTGAGGCTGAGATCTTGGAAGGTCTGTACGGGAATGTAACACGCAGGCAATTATGAAGATTGAAAGAGTCGAAGCCCTTTTGATGGGTCAGATATATTCAAAGGAATTAAAAAAAACTCATTTAATAAAATAGTTGCTTTTATTTATTTCTCTCTGTATAGCAAAACTAGTAATCAACATGCTATTTACATCGAGTCAATGCATGTTTATTAAATACAGGTACATCTATAAAGAACATCACAGACAGGATCCTTGTACAAGACTTACAGAATTACTCAAGTTTTTTTTCTTCATTGAATAGTATTCCCACTGATTTTGTCAAAAACAACACGTTATGTTTTCCACAGCGGTTGTGAGATGCAGTACAGACAAACGTGCAGAAATTAGTCCGTTTCCTTCGGTTTTCGCCACTGCCCGGCTGTTCTCGTGATTAGACACCTCTGCCGCGCTCCTCCGCGCGAGCGCCGCACCCACCCCTCTCTCTGCAACTCCCTGAGCGAACCCCTACCCGACTAGAAGCGGTCGATCTGTAAAAGGCGCCATTGTAGCCTCTTAAATGGCAAGCGAATGGAATGTTGCCCGTAGGTGAAGAGATTAAACATCCTTATCGTTTGAGTTGTAGGTCCCTTGCGCTTCTTTCATTTAAAAAACAATGTGTCATAATTATAAACCACACTCTCTGTGCTTCAATATCTCTCGTGCATCGGCTAATAAAGTCCAATGACGTCCTGTATTTTATGACGTCACTTAAGCCTCTGGCTTCTGAGTACCAGATAGAAAGGTAAGGGGTTTCAGCACGTAGTTTTTCATGTTTTTTCGCCACTCTTCTTTAAAGAAAAAAAAAATGTCACTACTAATTTTGCCAAAAAGCATAAAAAAAATCCAAGGATTTATTTTATTTTGGCTTCCCAAACACTCTGCCACGCCTTCCATTTGTAAACGACGAATCCACAGGATCACACAACATTAGCAGCATGCCTGAGCTATACTACGGAAACTAACATACAAAAAACGCTTATTTTCACCGGAAAGTATAGCAACAACGGTCACAAACACCTTCAGATAGATTTTCCGGAAACACCCTGCAGTGACGGATGGGACCCAGGTGTTTTATAAGGCAATAGTTTACTATCACTAGATTTTTTTTTTTTTGTATACCGCTCTTTTTAAACTTCTATGCAAAAATGTTTGGAATGTATGATGTTTTGCACCGAAATTTGTCAAGGAAATAAATACGTGTGACCCTCAGACACATCTGTACAAGTAAGAAACCTCGGGTACAATGAAGAATAGGAAATTAGTGTAAAAAAATTCAGAAAACAGATGCCAAGTTACTTCCGACGGTTTTCCTTAAGTGTTCCTTTACTGCTTCAAATACAGCGATGATTTTTACCTTTAACCTGCCATACCCGCTGTGTGTACTTCAGGGCTTACAATTTCAAGTGATGACGATGAGCATGTAGCAATTTACTTGAAACCAGAACAGATTATAGAAAAAAATGTTACTTAACTCTAGTTATTCTATAACAAAGTTGGCTACGTCTAATATGTCTGATAACGATATTTCTGAATGCGTTGCTTCTTTACGAATACACGGTAACTAGCCTCTCTCTTGGTTAGTCAATTCAACCCACCTGCTCATTAGTGCCTGCGCCTCATTTAAAAGATCTATCAAATCGACATTTGATTCGAATCCCCTAACTTAACATTTGGCAGTGATTGCTTGTCCCTCGCCTTGAAGGTTACGAGTCCACTCCGAGTGAATACGATGTATGTAAAATTACCAACCTGCTTTTAAGGCGAGGCAAATACTGTTTGAGGTAATACAGGTCTGTACACCTCAGTTTTGTACTGTTTTGTGTCGTGTGTTCTAAGAACATAAAAAAAACTATTAAAGACCGTCATGGATTCAGGAAAAACTAAACTACGAATCACATAGGCTTGGATTTCTGCTTAGTTTAACCCTGACACTTGTCGGTTGAATACTGTGAGATATGGGTGTAATGGCACGTTGGTCCGAAAAGGAAAAGTCCGAGTATCGAGCTCCAAAGGGCTCGAGTCGGGCCACCGAAAAGCCGACCCCGGGCTCCTGGGCCGGGTGAGGTAAGAGTTTGACTTCTGTGTCTCGCCAAGAGGGGTAGTGCGCCGTAAGGACACTGCGCGCAGCTCGGCGGAGCAAACTGTGACTTTGCCGCGCCAGCAGTCGTCCTCTCGTTCTCGCTGAAAGATGCCCATGGATGCCCTCTCCTAGGCGTCCGACACCTGGTCAGTCACGTCTCGTTCTTCCCTTAATGTAGCGCATGTCTACAGCTTGTTCCGAGTTAACGCGCCGTCTTCTTTTAACGTTCACCCTTACAAGAAAAACCAAATGTAGTCTTGTACTATGAGTCAGTTCTCGACTGCGCACGAATATCAAACCGAGGACCGCAGCCCCAGTCGGTCTTATTCGGCTCGTGGGTGACGATCGGGAACAGTCGGACTAGGTGGCGCGCGGCCCCTCTGTGTGCGTTCTTCTAAACGGCGGGAAAGAGCGCGAGCGACAGTGCTTGGAGAAGGAGAATCGTTCCGCCCACAGTTTGATACCGCCACTGGTGAAAACAGCCTACCGAGAGAAAATGTTCGTTAAAACTTTTTTTTTTGCGGGGGGGGGGTTGGATTTTAAACACTCTTTAGTTTGAGTACAAAACCAGTTCCGCACAGGAGCAAAACGCTTTACTATTCCTGCTCTTAATGATGATACAGGTCGGTAAACCACGACATAGTTTCAATTTCTGGAACTAAGAATCAGCCAGGGAGAATTCTGTATAAAGTGCAAGTTCAGTTCTGTGATTCAGGAACGCAAGAAAGGCCAAGTCGCTCATGTTCGACTGGTTTTGTGCTGGATCTGCTTCAGCAATACGACGCGGTAGCTCGCAGCAAACGTCTCCGACTCAGGCCGTGATCGTCACGTCTTTTAGGAGGCGGGGAAAGGGATTGCAGGTGTGTTGGGCTTCGAATACTTTAAGACTTCTAGATCACTCTGATCTACTCGGGCAGGTGACGTTGGCGCGAACAATGACGTCATCAGCCATCAACCCCCCCCCCCCCCATCCATAACGTTGGAGTCCCATCTCCAAGCATTTAAATCCCTGACGACATCTCGCTATTTTTTTCTTTCGCGTGCTGACCGTGGTTCGAGAGGCGGGAGCATAACCGATCTCGCCAGCCGTCAGATATTCAGAAAGCCGACTTAGAGCGCGAGCTGGAAGCTTGGGAGACCCGAAGTCGGTGACGTCATCCGGCCCGTGTCCGCAGGTGTTTTTGACGGAAGATCCTACAGGGACGCACGTTCTCAGCGCCACAAGAAGCCAAGCTTCTGCGACGGGGGGGGTGGCACAAAATAGGCTGACAGGTACGCGGAAGGTTAAAGGTACTGAGGTAGGTGATGAATGGGTCAGTAATGATATATCTGGACTTTCTTGAAGATGTGTGCTAGAGGCTTTATAACCAGGAATGGGTCTTTCAAAGAAGGCCACACAGCTGGATCAAGAAATGCAGGGTAGGGGGACTGGCACAGTGAAGGACTGGTATTTTTTTTCATATTTTAGTTCATTTTCTTCACTCCACCCCCACCCCCCACCCCTCCCCCTTAAAAAAAAAAACTGCTTGTCTCTGTTGGCAGGTTGGGCAAGGGGGTGGAGGGGAGTGAGGCCAGTGGCCATCTGGTTCCCCTGTCCGATTCATGCAATTAGAAAGTAACCCGGAACGACACACAAACATCCACTGACAGTACTAGGAGTCAGAAAACGGAAAGAGAAACCGGTAAAGGCATAAACATACAGGTCCTCCCTTCCGAACCAATGGAAAAAACAGATCTAATGGAACAGAAACGCACTCCTACTGCACCGGCTGGCCTGTTCTCACTAGAACATCCGAGGGCGCTTCAGGAAGACCTTCTCGATGAAGTTCTCCAGCTCTTCCTCGCTCTCCTGCCCCGGGTCGTAGTAGTCTTCGTCGCGGGGCATCAGCGGGATGGGCTTGGAGTAGTAGTAGGGCCGGCGGCGGGCGGGGGGCAGGGCGCGGCGGGGCGGGGGCGGGGGCAGGTAAGTTCTGGGGCGGATGTAGTTGGAGATGAAGAGGGCGCTGGGCTGAGGGCGGGACCAGGGCTTGGGCTTGGGCTTGGGCTTGAGCTGGTACCGCCAGGGCCTGGGGTCCAGGTCGTAGTCCAGGGAGTTTCCCAGGATGTCGTTGACGGACAGTTCCTGGTTGCGGAAGCGGGGCTTGGGGGGTGGGTAGTAGAAGGGGTAGTAGGAGCGGAAGGGCTTCTGATAGGGCGAGTAAGAGGGGTAGGATGAGAAGGTCTGCTTTTGCCAGACACGAGCGGCCTGCTTGGGCAGGAACTTGTCCTTCTGGCGCGGCTTTTGGGGGGCGGGCAGAGGTGGGGGTGAGTTGCTGCGGGGCGGTGGGGGCAGCTTGCGCGGGCGGGGCTCGGGGGCGTCCTTCTTCTTCTTCTTCTCCACGTCGTTGATGATGTCCACCACGTCGTCGGCCGGCAGGTGCAGCTTGCTGGAGATCTCGATCAGCTTGTCGATGGTCTGGGGGTCAATGTCGTCGTCGTCGTCGTCGTCGTCGTCATCGTCCTCATCGGAGCGCTTGTCCTCCGCTGCGTTACTGCTGACCACGGGCAGCTTCTTGCCCCGAGCCCCTGCCAGGGAGTTCAGCACCTCTTCCTGCTGCTTCTGCTGCTTCTGCTGCTTCCTGTGTTCGGCCCCGTCCTGCTTGACCAGGTACTGGAGCAGGAGGTCGGAGGCGATGTCGGCCAGCTTCTCCTCTTCCTCCTTGGCACGCTGCGCCTCGGCTGCCTGCCTCCTCACCTCTTCCTGCTCGGCCCTGGCCCTTGCTTCTTCTTCCTCAGGGCTCAGGATCTCCTCCTCCTCTTCGTCATCCACGCCTTGGTTGGAATCCTCGAAGAAGTTCTGCCCCATGTACGACTGCTTCCCCCTCTTTGTGTCCCCCCCCAACTCCACATCTATTTTGTTCTGCTGTGTCTTCCCTTTGTTCATGGCCCCCATCACGCGCTCATAGGCCCCCAGTTCTTGTAGGACCTCATTGGCTTCAGAATCCAGGCTGGCCTTGTAACCCCCAGTTCTGTCCTTCCATAGTTTGGGCTTCCCAACTCCCCGCTCCACCACGTTAAGGGAGTCCCTCTCTCGTTTGGTGGTGGTGCTGTAGCTTTGCAGCTCCTCCAGCATGGCCTGCAGGTTTTCCACTTCCTGGGGGCTCAGCTGTTCCTCCTGTTCCTCCTGCCCTCCCCCCCTCACGCGCTCCTCCCCCTCCTCCCTCTCGCCCCCTCTTCCTGCCCCTCCAGCTTCCTGGCTCTTGCTCTCCACACCCAAACCTTCTTGGCTCCGTGTCCGACTCTTCACCCTCTCCGTCAGCCTCTCCTCCTCCTCTGCTCTCTTCCTCTCCTCCTCCTCCTGATCCCTCTCTCGCTCCTCCAGCCCCTCTTTTCCCCAGATCAGCTGCGACTCTGCCTCCTCACGCCTCCCCTCTTCCGAGCTTCCCCGGAGCGCCTCTCTCGCGGTCTCCCCCTTCCCAGCCCCCTCTCCAGCCTCCTGGTTGGCTCCCTCCTGCTGGTTCAGGGCCTCCAGCAGGACGGCCGCCAGGGTTTTGGGGTCCACGTCCTTGAAGAGCTCGTCCTCTGGCTCGGGGGCCGACCTCGCCTCTTTCTTCAGCCCTTGCGTCTGGCCGTCTCCCTGCTCTCTCGACTCCTTCTGCGCGGTCTGCGCTACTCCCACCGCCGGCGGGAGGGGGCGGGAGACACTCGTGGCACCATACTTCTCTTCTGCCCCTGGGGCAGCATCGGTCCACGCCAAGCTAGTGCCAAGCAGCAACAGCAACAGAGGGGCACTTAAGGTGTGTTGGCACGGGATCATGACCTTGAGATGGGCGCGACCCACCTGGCGGTGGAAAAAGAGAGGACAAGGATGAGAATGACATTAAACATCAGGAAGGAACAGTCACTGTTGGCTCCTCATTAAACTATTTGCGTAGTCTATGGTTTTATCACAGAATTCTCAAAAGGCACTCTTCCGTAGTGTTCTTCGTTAAATATTCACGGCTCATAAGGGGTTTGAATCTCATAATGTGAACTAAAAATCTGAATATGCTGTAGAATTAATATTGAAGCCATATATGATGTCACAGATACACAGTACGAATAACAATATCCTCCATCACCAACAGTGCTTTTCATCTGTGAAAATGTTGTAGTTTCATTAAACTACATACTTATTTGACAATCATCTCTACATTTAATGGACCCTTATTTATCTGAGCAGGTGGCAGTTGAGATCTGTAGAGGATTATTCACGGTGATGTGGCTCAGTTGTGCCCATACAGCTGCATCTGTTTTCACTTGGTTTGCAATGTGATGAATCATGACAGAGGCTCTGGGCAAATAGAGCCGTGCTGTTTTTTTTCACTATGACCATCTTAAAAAAAAAAACAATATAAGGTGCCAACTACAAGAAGTACAGAAATGTTTTTATCATACAACATTTGAATGCTTTATTGCATCATCCCACATCACGCAATTTTGTTTCTCCATTTTTATAGTTCATTTTCTGACTCAGTTGCTTTGGATAAACACATCTTATAATACTTTCAGCAGTAATAATTCCCCATTTTGAAAGATATCCTAAATTCCAGTATAATCCAGAATTGGAAGGGGTCAGAACTTAACCACTACCAAATCTGACCAAGGTTCACATCGCAAGACAACAACCTGTAGGAGTTGCACAACAATTTAGCAGAGGGAATGTTTCTCTCACACATCACCAAACACACTCGGACGTCAGTTCAACAGTCAGCAGATTGAAATAATAAAATGCAATATTAAGTTTAAAACAACATTTAGAACAATTAGAACAAGTAGAGGTTTATTTCATGCTGGAAGGAAATGAAAAATAAACACGTTTCAGCTGAGGAGCCTTCTTCAGGTGTGTCAATATAGGGTCAATTATTTGTATCATAACTGGTGTTCTCCATGGGAACCATTTCTTTTACAGATCAATCCCAGTTTGTCATGTGTTTTGAGCCGGAGTTCTGAAGGAAGACAAGATGGACGATTTTCCTCAAAGCAGCGATTGCCCAGAATTAGGCTTAATAGGACACAGCTTGCAAAACAGAATATATCTGGTATGGTGAATATAAAAAAAAGGTCACATCAGTTGATTGCTGCTTCTAAGACACGGTGATTCTTTAAAGTGATTGATTGAATTTTAAATGCCCATTCTGGAGAAAATAGAGAGCTATGGTTTCTCAGGGTTTTCTGTCTTGAGCCATATACAGTAACTGGCTTTATTAGTGGTGGTGAAAGTAGCCTTTTGTCCATCTCTCTGTAAAACATAATGACTTGGTCAGCGTAGAAAAGCTGGAGTATGAGCACTATGCTTTAACGTCTCACCACATTTCCAGCCACTCTGATGCAGAACGGCTTCTCACAGCATCAGAGAAAATGCTAACCAATCTGTAATTAGTTTTTAACCCTGATCTTTCCTGACCTGATTGGCTTTCCTGATTGAGTGGCTGAATGTCTGGGCTACACATTTAGCATGTGTACGAGAGACGGATGAAGACGGAAACTTTGTCAGTGGACGCCACTGTCCTCCCCACCGCGGTTAATGTCTCGACGCCCACTCAGCCACCCGGTCTGTTTCTGATCACGCCATTGAACAAGGCAGAGGGGGGTACCTGCTGGACGTGAGCCATTCGATCACCTGGCAGTGGGGCAGGTGCCGCCCTCCCCTCATTCACACAACTTCACACCGACCACGGCCCGTCCACTGGACGTGATTGCGAACCCCTGCCGCTGACACGGCGCTCAATTCCCACCAGGGGGCTCCAACCCCTGATCTGCAGAGCTCCAAGACCGAAAGCGCACGCCTGATTGCCAGAAGATTGCAAACACCGACGGGCGACGGATGAACCGAACAAGCGGTCGGCTCAGTTCAGAACACTCTTAAGTGGTCCGCTAGTGTTGAAAAGGTTATTAGACTAGTAATCCAAATCAATGTCTACATTATTTTGACCGGTTTGACCAAATTCTAAATCATAAAGAAATTGTTTCAAGTCTAGAAATTAAGTTAATGCTGTGCATGAAACCCGCAGAATGGAGGCAAACTAGGACCAGGGTTGTAGACCCTTAATTCCTATTAAAAAGACTGAGCGCTGCTGACTTCACCTGTAGTAATTTCCTCTTTAGTACCCATTACTCTTTATTCATTCTTAGTAAAATGACAGATGTAGTCATTTCCTTTACTTAAACTGGACACAAAGAGCACAGGTGAGTCTTGTCGACGCGGCGAAGTTTGCCGTGCACGGAGGCACGGAGGCGCGAGCGCTGGGTCTGGCGGTTGTGCACGAGCCGCCGCATTATTGAATCACCGGAGAGGAAAAAAAAAAAGGTCAGGTCTCGAGAGCCGTGCGTGGGGAGGGGGGGGTTGTAAGGTGGGCTCGAAGCGTTGCCTTGGTAACCGGGGAAATCTGCATTTATTTTTTTAACCTCTTCTCTAATAGGAACTGTTTCTATAGCAACTTTCGTCGTCGATTTTTAGGAAAAGTTTATTCACCGGAAGCACACCGGTTGAGACGGTCGGTCCGGTTGATCTGCGGCTCCTAGTGCGATGGGCTCGTATGATCGCCGCGTTTGACTCCAGGTAGCGGAGCGAAGCCGCACGGGAGGACAATGGAAAAGTGAAGCGCGACCGCAGCTTCAAAGTGTTGCTGCAGGATTGATAGATTTTTGGGTTAGCAGTGGTTTTGTAAAGAGAACGGCTGCAGCTGCTGCCATCGTATTTAACATTTCACGGTTTAAAACTTTGCTTCTCCCCCACCTCCCCTCTAGTCTCCATTGGGCCATTCAATTCCCCGCTGGAATCTACCACAAAGGAGCAAGGTTATAGCTGAAGTGCTTCTTAGTCGGTGTCCGTCAATAATAACCCCCCATACCTACTGTAGTGTGTTGTAGCCGGCGCCTGTCTCGGGCTTTATTTGAGTGCTGTTCGCAGTCCACCGGACGCAAAGCAGAGACCGCTAATCGGAAAGGTTCACTCCCGGCCAGTCGGTGGGACAGCTGCCCGCTTTCCTCCTTACATCTCTGCACTGGCTCCCCGGCCGCTCTGCCATCTTAACCCTTCGGCCCTCGACCTTTAACCTTTAATCCGCCCCCATCACTGGCTTATACACATCGGCTTTCTTTCTATAAACGCCCCCCATCTCGCTTCCTCCCGCTCCCGACACTGTTGTAACATTGTTTTATGAAGTGACGAAGGGGGACCTGCACTGACTCGGACACTGGCCTGGAGGCAGCGCTGTGTCTTTTGACGAGACCAGCTGGTTGCTCCGAAGTTCCGCGGCTCTGTGTCCGGTGCGCTCGGAGCGCCAGGCTCCGATCCTAATCCCTTCCTAAGAAGCGCTTGCCCCGTGTAATCTCCGGGGGCTGGGGCTATTTTAGATGTCTTGCCCCCACGGGACAGACACGCAAGCCCAGCACCGCGTGGGCTCTTCACCCCGCTTCTCTCGCATCGCTCCTCTTCCCAGAAGCCTTTCTTACTATTCGCGGTATTATCGCCACTCTTTTCCCCGACGTAGGCGTTGCTCCTAATGCGGAATAGATTTCGGTTTTGGTTGCCTAAAGCTAAGGAAAAAACGTGAAGGGGTGACTTCTGGAGATCTACAGGTGTGTCTAAGATGACTAACAACGTGTCGTATAATGTTGTTGTTAGGTTATCGTTCACTGCGTCTGCGACTACAAGTACACGTATAACTCCAGTGTCATCCCCCGCAGAATCCCCCAGTACGACAGTGTCCATTTGAACAACATGGGAAATATGAAATGAGTCCTGTGCCCGAGTATTTATAACTTACATCGCACACTACAAACATACATTGAAACCGCACTTGAATTTCCAGAAAATCGGTTCATCTGGAAACCATAAAGACACAATACCTAAAATATTTTAAAAGACAGATTGTTTTATCAGCTGCTGTTTTAATGACGAACATCAGAAACATAAATGTTTTACTCACCCAGAATTTCTGATTTGGAAAGGCGAGCGTCACTGGCTAGCTTTATGTTCTATCTTTTCTTGTGTCACTTTCTAAAAAACAAAATCACGTCTTTTTTCTCTCTCTTTGTTGTTTTTGCTTTTCTAAATGCTCTTTCGGAACACTCAAGTCCGACGGCGCTACCACTACCCGGCGCGGCGTCTTAAGAAGCTTTTCAGCACCAGGGACAGCGACCACGGTATTTGTAGTCCTGCTGGCAGGCCACGTGACATGACGTCAGGCTGTCCATTGACGTCAGCGCTCCATTGATAAGAATTTTGTCAGGATCGAACCCTATTCTTCTCCACGCTGCATTGATTTGATGAATGAACGGAAACTGGTGAATGAAATAGTATTTTTCATTGAAGGAGGCGCAGATAAAAAGAGCGAAGAGAAGAGGTTTTCCCAGATGCGGCTGTGCTTCGCATACTGAGTTCCTGCAGTTAGCCACACACGCAGACACAGCAACGCACACACTCAGCCGCTGAGAGAGACACAGAGCTTGGGCAGAGAGCAGACATTCCCCTGCAGAAGCCGTAGCTAGTGGGCGATGGCTCCACTACCCTCCTAGCCCACCCCTGCATAGCGCACGAGTAAGTACTCTCCTCCGGTTAACAAAAGGCACCGCAGTACCCGTGCACATCGAAAGCTAATTATAATAATAATAATAATAATAACAAAAGCCTCTCATTTATTTTAAATTGGATTTGTAAACACGAGACTCCCGTGTTCCGGGTTTTTCCGGTCTTTCTCTCGTTTGCCCACCCGAGTCTCCACGCCACCGAGACCACGAAACAAAGCGCTCACTCCCGGAAAGCGTAACAGGAGCAGGGCGCATCTTCCCAGTCCCCCAATCCCTCTAAATTCGTCCTTTGACGTTTCCCACATCGACCCCCTCCAACACCCCACTCTTCCTCCCTCGGTTGTAAGCCCTGCAGTGAGTGTTAAATGTTAATTTATTCTCGCGCAAAAAGGCGAGTCTACATCGGTGTGAATGTCACTGGTTTATTCATAAAGCATCTTATGAAGTTATGCTGCTGTGCTTCGTCAGCTATCCTGCCGCTTTTAAACAGAAGGACAGAGCTAAAAAAAAAAGAATAAGCAAAAGACCAAACAACACGCGGAAAAAACGAAACGCGGAAAAACGTGGCAGTCTGTGCTTTTCCACGACGACAACAGCTTCGATCTTTTGTTCTAATGAACAGCTTCGTAGGAATACTTAGACATACAAACACAGAATCAGCTGCAGGGAAAAAAAAAGGATGTGTTTCATTTAGCCTACTAATAATGCCTACAATCTAGGGTTTTGTGTGTGAGGAGAGCGCTATTAACTATCCTGTTGCGATATTTAGTTCACATATTCGATCGATCCGCCAAATTACAGTCGCGTGTCTCACGACAGGTCGGGTTAACTGTCTTAGTGAGCTGAACGCCAGTAGCAGAACAAACAAAAAAAAGCAAGTCGTTATTTGAAAGCCGTGGAACAGAGACGTGTAATTAGATGACACACAGGAAGACAGCAATGCAGGCCATGACGACTGCTTTGCGTCTCTGTCCAGTGGAAGATGGGAAGAGCTCTCTCATATGGAGCAGACATCACTCAGAAAGACTTATATTGCCCTCCTTGTTTCCTGGCAGCGTGCTTTATGAAGCAAACCAGATCTATTATCAGGGTTTTTAGCTGCGCGGCACTTACACCGCAGCATATAAAAATAGCCGCAATAGATTAAAGAGCTGACTTGGCCCTCCACAGGACTCAAATACGGAATTCAAATCATATAATCATTTCTTATTAAGTGTGCATGCAGTCCTCAACAGCAGATTTTATTTATCGCGTATCGGTATTCTGTCAGTTCTAATTGCCAAGTCGATGGTGAACTGTAATATGTAAAATTAGGAATTTTATATATATGTTAAATTTAACTCAGATAGTTCTATCTCGCCCAAGCTGTGCAATGAAAAGTAGTGATTTCCTTACTAAATCAAATCATTACTGAAGGATTTGAATTTGTTGACTGACAATCGGCCTGCAAAAAAAAAAAGTAGGTTTGATAATTGCAGTATACTGTAGTGTCACACGCAGAGGTGTACGTGTGTGTATATAGCACATAACACATCTATCGAACCATTTTCGATTGTTCCGGGCAACACGTTCAGTATCTATGATAAAAACCGTTCAAGCGCGAATCCATTTACTTCTTACTGAAAACATTCACGGTCTTCAATAATTAACGAATACTAAAACCAATCTCTCTCTCTCTATCTGCAAATGTATTCTCTGTGCATGAGCTTGGACTCATCAAACCGGACACGATCTCGGCTTCCCCGTGTTTTTTTACCCACGCGAAGCCCTAATATTCCGGAACCTTTTCACATTTGTGAGACAGAACAATGATGTTTGCTTTTTCTCGTTTTAAGCCGCTTCAAGTAGGTAGTCACCCTCGTGTGAAGTGTTCGGCTCTCGGGCAGTAGTCACCTCCTCTACCCAAGCTCGACCACGGGGTCGATAATTCGCTTTCGCTGCTCCCGACCGCGCTGGCGTGCCTACGAGTGTCTCTCTGTGGGCTGGAGCGCGGCCCCGCGGCTTTTAGAAAGAAGACGAGGCCTTTTATCGCGGCCGTCGGGGGCGAGCGAGCCAGTCCCAAATCCAACCCGTTGAGGTCTCTCCAGAAACGCAGAGGACGGTAGGGCAGACGTGCAATGGCCGGGTCTTGGGGACCCCGAGGCCGTGTGCTAGTTTACACCGTGCGTTTCACAGTTGCTACAATAACGGGAGACCTAAAAACAAAAGACGTCAATGACCAATCACTAACTAGAAGCTCGGCCACGCGGAAAATTTATTATTGCTTCTCTGCAACGCGGCCTTCCGTGGATTTCTCTTATGATGATATTTTCAGCTGTTTGGGGGTGGATTCGAACCCGGAGCCTTGCAGAGGACCGATGCGTGTCACATGGGCACGTCTCTTTGAATAAAAGTGAAGGGGGGGGGGACTTTTTTTTTCATGCGCCTCTATTTAAGCACCACATCCGCCCCCCCCTTTGCTCCAAAGCGAAGGGAGAGGAAGGTCAGAACGCAGAAGCAGCTGCCGAGATGTGATAAAGCTTCGCCCGCTGAGGCTGCGGTGATTGACTCGGATATAGGGGCGGGGGTGTAGAACGCGCCTGACACTGTCATTGATGCGGGATTAGTATTATCGACTGTCTGCCAGCATCACAAACCTTCCACATCGTGCAAAAGAAGACTCTGTGTGTGTGCGTGCAAATGATGAGAGATTGTATGAGGGCTGGGAAATACAGGATAGGATCGAGATTTGTCGCCATCATCATCGCCATCAGTATCGATCGCACATTCCAGCGCCTCGCCTTCTACCGCCGCCTGTTTCGATGCGCGTTTTTAAGCGGCCGCTTGCAGAGGGAGAAGGAACGTCCGCGCGGGGGCTAAACGTTGGCGAAATAAATCGCCCTGCAGCAGACGGAAATTGTATCTCCGCCAGGCGCAGCCTGCGTGCAGGGCGAGGGCAGCGCGTTGATTTTTCACCGCATCAGCTAACCGCCTTAATAGAGTGCAGGAGCCTCACGCCCACACGCCGACAAGGCTCAACGCGCTGCTTGCTCTGCCCGAGGTAGATAGGCCCTTATCTGCAGTCAGGATCGGTCCTTACTCAGTTCGGCAAGCGGCCCATACAGTGTGTTGTACTACGTGTACTGCAGCTTTACGGAATTCCGCGCTCACGCGTTTTCACAGTACCGCACGGGCCCGTAGTAACACATTATTTTAAGTGGGCGTTCAAAGGCGCGCATTACTACGAGAGACATACTGGCACTCACACACAACAAACGCGTGCGTTGTCTGAAAGGCCGCTTATTATTCCTTGCAAGGCCAGGTGGCGGTAGCGTTGACCCTGGCTGGCGTGTCTTTGGGGGGGGCTAAAGGAAACCAGATCCGTGGGTGAGGACTGCCAAGCCGCCATGCTGCCTGATTAACACATAATCAATAGCAAACGTAGGAAAGTCTTGTCATATATCAATATCTTGCTACAGGTTAAATACAGGGTGGAGCGGTGGCTCTGTGGCTAAGCATCTGTGCCTGTGGCTGGAAGGTTGCTGGTTCAAATCCTGCAACTGGCGGAGGATTCCTACTCCATTGGGCCCCTGAGCAAGGCCCTTACCCCCAACTGCTCCAGGGATGCTGTACAATGGCAGACCCTGCACTCTGACCCCAAGCTTCTCTCACTGTCTGTGTGTCTGTCTCATGGAGAGCAAGCTGAGGTGTGTGAAAAAAGACAAATTCCTAATGCAAGAAGTTGTATAGGGCCAGTAAAGTGATGTTATGTTAAATCAGTGGTTCTCAATCTCATTCCTGGGGTCCCTCTGATTCTGCTGCTTTTTCTTGCAGCTGAGCCCTTCAATCACCAGTGCCTCTTGACAACAGTAACCGATGAACTTGTTGGCTTATTTTGTTTTCTGCATCCAGTTGTTGGCTTCAGAACTACCCTAGTTGCAGTACCCACAACTTTATGCGGCCTCTCATTAACTTCCTGATTAAGAATCTGCGTCCTTATTTCTGACCCGACAGCTCACAACAGGTGACCACCCGAGGAGCAGCTCGATTGACCAGCTGCAGGTGGCTGGAGTGGTGCTGTGAAGGACCGCTCCTCCGGTGAGTCCATGTTTTCCCCTTCTGCTTACGTCCAGTTGGTCGCTCTTCAGCTCGCGCACCTCAGTCGGAGCAGTCCTGAAACGCACCGGTCAGCTCAGGGCACCTGCCCGTCCCATATATCACTGAGCGTTTTAGAAACTCAACATACAGATTTGAAAAAGACTGAGGACGGTCGAATAAATGAGTTAGAGTAGGGAGCTGCGTCAGCATGCGTAGGCTGCAAAGGAAGGTTTATCCCAGGCTGAAAAGAGAAGAAAAGAAACACAATATTTCGGCTGTGGAGCCTTCTTCCAGAGTTTCCTTTAACCTGCCTGATCACTTGAGCCTGTGATCAAGAGTGTAATAGGAGTAAAAGCCAGAAAACACAGGGGTTACCCAACACCAGGGCTAAGAAACTCTGGGCTATAGGATTTATTAGCATTGCTTAGTTCTAAGGCATGAGTTAAACATTTATAAAACCCAAACAAGCATGGATAACATGCCTTATAATATACCATTCACATACCCTCTACCCCTTGGTTTTCCTCTGTAGTTAACTCAACGATCCTATCTGCCCAGTTCTGCCCATTTATTTACTCACACTTTAGCAGAGTTTTAGGGTTCAGGTGGCATCATGATATACCACCTTCGATTCTTGTAAGAGCTGTGGTGATCAGGCTGTATTGAAATGCCCGATGCAGTAAAACACAGTGACTGCGGGATACAGGAGGACAGAGGGAACAACTGGTGGAGAAAATGGAAAATTGAAAGGAGTGGGGGTGGGGTGGGGTGTTTGTGTCTGCTCTATGTTCATCAATGGAAGAGGAGGGAGTTATACATTATTTATTTTCCTTGTCTGATGTCTTCATCCAATGCAATTTGGTGTTTTCAGTGGCCTCTGTGTGTTTCTGTGTGTGGGATGTACCAGTGAGTCTGTGTGTGTCTCTGGGAGTCTGTTGGAGCTCACAGCTTGCTGTGACAGATTGCTGCTGCAGCTACAGCCAAGCAGACTGCAGCACCTTGGCAAATTCAGCAGTGATGTGGACGTTTTGGCCATAACTGAGGGCGATAATTGCTGCACATATGGGGATGAATTTACTGTGTGTGTAACAGAGCTGCATCTGTTTGCAGTTTTGTTGCTTTTTGCACACGTCTGTGGACAGATTTCCATCCGTTCGCGTGCTGCAACTAACACAAACATGGCAAATGTCTTATGGTCTCTTCACTGAAGTTTATACTTATTTTGTCTGCAGCCTGTATGTCAAATAGTACTGTACAGTACAGTACCATTACAATACAGTAAAAGTGTGTGGCAGCCCATTTTAAGAAGGGGCTGCAGTTAAAGTCTGCCACTAGAGGCCGCTGTGCAGCCTCTAATTATATGTAAATAGCCACACCAGGGGTCATTGACTTAGTTATTGGTTACATGGTATAGGACTTCAATATTATACCAATGTGATAAAGTGAATTAGGCTTGCTGCTAATGTTTTTTGTTGTTTCCTACAATAACTCCTCCTGGACTTTACTTCTCTTGACCATCATTTTTGTGCGTGCAGATTCTTGGGACCTCCCTACTTGAAGTCAGGGTCTGTCCTAACAATTTAATTGTGCATTACAGTACAATAGTGCACAGTGAAACAGTAAATACAGAGCAGTGCAACACAGTTCTTTCTGGACACAGTGTGATTAGAACAGAGAAGCGCGATGTGGTGCAATTCAAATTCCCTGAATTTCTATCGCCCGAAATCCCTCCACTACTCCCGTTATTGTTCTTGTGATTAAGCTCCCCAGGTGTACCCTCTTAGGTGTCTTATTTAAAGACTAGCTCCTCCAGTCCTGGGGGCTCATCATTAGGGTAAGGATGTCGCAAGGCCCGCCTGGCACCTGGCTGTTTTCTCCAGCTCTTACCAGATCGCATAGGGTCTACTACAAGACACGGGTCTCAGTCAGTGTCAGTGACAGAATTGTGTTACACAGCAAAGCATAATGGGATCAGAGTGTTAAAATTCACTAGACTAGTCAGCAGACAGTAGGAAAAAGAAGCCAACTGAAAGGCCACTGGTCTCCTGCATCTGCCTGCATGGTTCCTACTTGTAGAAGAACCATGCAGTTTATACAGTGCAAGTCCGAGATCAAGAGATGGGTGGTAGAATCCCAAGGTGCTGTTCTTCTCTTATGTGCATTGATACAGCCAGACAAGTCACTGTAACCTTAATATTCAAAAGGATAACAAAATGACCTGTCCTTTTTAATTTTGAACGTGATATCTATTTAACCTTCTGTTTATGTTTTCCAGATTGCATGTCCAACTTCTTAGGTGATCTAATACATATTGGAATTAGAATCCAGCTGTGATAAAGAGCGCACCCTCCAAAACCTCTGTCCCATTTTCCGGACTTCCTTGCTTTTCATGTGGACATCTGTCTAGGACGTGGGTGTCTGTGTTTAGCCTAGCGTGACGCGGAGGGCCCAAGTATTAGTTGCTTAGTGTTGTACAGTATGTGACACCGCTGGGATAGAGCTGGCCAGTCAGTGCAATGGGTTACATCCTCGCTCACAGTGCCCCACCCCACCCGCAGTTTTCAATGTGCCGTAACTCTGATATTTAGTGCCTGCCCTCCCAGTAGCTCCAGGACAGTTGGTGCAGTGTTTCTCGGTGAGCTAATCAAAGCCTCAATCCCGGACTCCATTCACCACATGAAGGTGAAATATCCGGGGGCGCCCGTGAGCATTTACATCTGTAGCAGGGTCGTCTTTTCCCTTCTCCGCTGTCTCGCTCATTCATTCTTTCTCCGCCTCCCTTTAAACTTAAGAACTCCCGTCAGATACCAACCGTAATGGCAGCAGCACACGAGGAGCAGCAGGAGGGCGAGAAGACCGCCGGAGCTGCTGTAGAGCTGGGACCTAGGGAAAAGGTGTTTTAGTCGGCTCGGGCTGCTTCATTAACAGCAGAGACTGAGGCACAGTCCTGCCACTGAGGGCAAGACGATTGATCGACTGGGCCATTTAGAATCGATTAAGCTGCAGTAATCAATTCAATGAGTGAGACAGAAAGAGCAGGTTAAGGTTAAGTCTCAGGACATTTCATACAAAACTCCTCCTTCGGGTTTAACCGATAGACTTCCTGTTCTTAGATGGATTTGCCGCCGCCTATAACCGTTGTCCTCATTCAGCATCGTTGCTCCCAGCGTCAACACAGACAGGCGAGGCGGAGCGCCCGCTGGAAGGCGGTATCCCCCCCCCTCTTTCTCGCCACGAGCGGTACGTGGGCGCCCGGTTTAAGAAGAATCCAATAAAGCGGTAAAGGCGCGCGGTAGTTTCCCGAATCCTGCAGCTGCCCACCCACGCGCCCCCGGGACGACTAGGGCCTCTGCCAGGCGCGCGGGGGCGAGCCGAGCATCTGCTCCGCTGCCCTCGCGGTTTGATTCCCGGCTTCCGTTTACCCGCAGTTTCAAACAGCCATTATCCTTGCCGCCTGCGCGCCGGGCTTGCCATTGTGACCGTGCTTTGTAAAATGGTAACAGTATTGTTTTTCCCTGCTGTTTGTACACTCTTATCATCAAGAGTGTTCATTTTCACTGTACCCGCCACTTGGACAGCTTTTCAATTGATTCCAGTGATGAATCGAACCAGTTGGGATCTGGTTGTTCAATTGATTTGAAAAAAAAAATGTTTATATAGTGCCTTTCACAACAAGGTTGCCCCAAGAAACGTAACAAAGGTGTGTGACAATACCTGACATTACAAAACAGGAAGAGGAAAAAGCCAGAAGACAACGGAGGAGAGGAACCAAAAACTCCTCTGTAAGGAGAAAAAAAAAACCTCTAGAGGTCCGAAGCCAACTGGCTTCCCAACCCCTCGGGGCATGCTAACATCACACAATTCAATAAAAAAGTACTAAATGTGGAGCACTGAGTCTTCCATCATGTCCTTCTGGATGCCAGTACTCCATGCAGATCTCTGTAGACCAGTAGGTCCTCCTGGACGAGAGCTGTATTCGCGATGCCCCTCTTGCACCCATGGCAGCGATGCAAAATCCAAGTATAACGAAAGGCTGTGAACAGTTCAGGAGACCCCCGTCCTAAATGGCCGGAACAATCAGCAACTTCGTTAAACCTAATGCGGGAGTCAGTATTCAATCGCGTCCAAACTCCTGTAGTCTGACGCGGTCGGATCAATCAGTTACTGCGCTGGAAACGGATTGAAAACAACATTCTCGGGTATTCAGATGGGGACAGCAAACCAGCAGATCTCCCCCAGCGCAAAAACAGCACGTTATTGGGTTCGGGAAACACGCGAGACCAATGTTTACTGTAGCTGCGTTTTGCTATAGAATTTTCCCTGCTGGGACGCCCACAGTACCGACTGGCTAATTGATCGATCGATAAGTATGATTGTCTATATAAACGTTTGACATGCAGGTCTCCAATTGTTAACGAATCAAAGCTAGTTCTAAAAACAAAAACTGCGCCCTAGTGTTTTATTTCTCCCGGGTCCTCGTTTGCTTTTGAGTGGAATCGCGTTAAGCCGCCTCGACAGAGCAGGTTGCTGCGCGACGCCAGCGAATTCTATGCTTCAGGTTTCACCTCCGAGGTTTCGTCGATAAACCCCGAACAACCTCATCGGCGTGAACGATGACTGCTCTGATGACCCGCCGTATCGTAATTAAATTAACTACACGTCTTACTTCTGCAGGAAACAAGTCGGCCTGGAGACCACTTTGATTTCAGGGCTTGTGTAAGCGTACGTCCTGTGTTACTGTTGTTTTATTCACTTATGCGGTCTAAAGTAGTTTCAGTTCTTTAGAATTCTCTGGTTCAGTTGGTAGACAGGTTTAGGTTAATATGCAACTCTTCCTTGTTTTCTGATTGGTCATACTGGATAATGGGACAAGGAAAGAGGGGGAACGAAATGAGACCCCTAAGAGAAAGAGGTACAAGAGAACATCCGTCTCCGTCCAGTGTCCATCTTTCCTTGAAGACTGATCAGCCACCATCTCACGGACCCTGTAGTGACACCTG